GAGAGAGAGAGGGGGGGAGAGAGAGAGAGGGGGGAGGGAGAAGAGAGAGAGCGCGCGAGGGGAGAGAGAGAGATGTGTGGAGTGCTATCTGTATAGTGCTGGAGAACAATCCAGAAATAAGAGAAGAGGACAGTCACATGGCATGAACGGGGGATTTGCTTGCTTTAGAGTGCTGCAGCAAGCAAAGTCCTAAGAACTAGAGATGTATAGACACCAAGTACCGCACTCAGTACCAGTACCGATACTTTTCCAGCGCCAGGACTAGACTAGAGAAGCGGCTGTCATGTGTAAGGAGCTCCCGGGATCTGTACATCTCTGTTATAACCTATGATTTGTTTTTTTATAAACATATATTAGGGATGTACTGATACCGGTCCAATCCTCACAGATACAAGTACTGATACCGGTCCAATCCTCACAGATACAAGTACTGATACCGGTCCAAGTCCTCACAGATACAAATACTGATACCGGTCAAAATCCTCACAGATACAAGTACTGATACCGGTCCAAATCCTCACAGATACAAGTACTGATACCGGTCCAAATCCTCACAGATACAAGTACTGATACCGGTCCAAATCCTCACAGATACAAGTACTGATACATTGTTGTTGAGTCATGTGACAGTTTTTCTACAATACAGACGAATGGATTTCAGGACAGGGGTGGAGCGCCGGGGGCCCGGTCCCAGCTGCAACCCTGGGAGTTCTCCTGGAAATGCCGAGTATTGGCCCCCGGGATCCGAACGTCCCTACTAAGAACGTTTGTAGAGTGCAGCTCTGTGCGGTAGAATTGTTACCTTTTTTTTCCCTTTTAAAGTGGATTTGCAGCAATCATGGGGCAGCTTGTAATTAGTGGAAGAGTACAGCAGTGACATGGAGGAGCTCTATACAGGACAATGTAGATGAGGGAAGAACCCAGAGCAAGCATTTAGGAGTCTGAGACTCAACAATATCATAAGGTGCAGAACAGCCGACAGGCAAGCGATGTGCGATAAGAGAGTGCGACCAACCTGTCCGGACCCTTCTGTCCTCCTCACTCTTCTCATGCTGGATATGAGACATCTGGGAGATCTGGAGCTGCAGGTGACTGCGATCATCTTCCATCTTCGTCAGCTGACTGCGTAGATCTTCAACCTGAAGGAAGCAAAATCACAACATGGGCATATAGATGATGATGATGTGCCCCCCCCCCCCCCCACCCAAACTTCGGTACAGCATAGGGAGCATGTCCAGCCCTTTTTACTCCCCACACCTCCTGCTAAAGTGCCCCAGAGGGCTGCCTATTCTGCCTACCCCTCAGGCCTGTACTGTCTGCATGCTGTGGTGAACACACGGGGTAACGATGGACTTCCTTCACCAGAAAATCTGCCAGTTGGTATCAATCTTTCCATTTCACAACAGTAAACGCTCCCGCCAACTGGCCAATCCGAGGGACCCGTCAGCTCTAAAGCCGAGTTCCAGGATCGTTTCGCCATTGGACCATTCATTCCGATCCCTGTGCACATCACGGATGTTACTAGTCTTGGAGAAAATTACCCTTTCAGACCCCATTCACACTGAGCGACATGCAAATCGAGCGACATGTCGCGCGACATCTTCCTATTGGGCTGTATGCAATCAGGAGCAATATCGCTCAAAATCGCTCTAAAAAAGGGTCATGTAGGAGCGACAAGCTCCCAGCGACGAGCTACAAGCGATATTGAGCGACATTGAGCGACGATATGTGAACAGCTACATTGAAATGTATTGGTGAAGCTACATAGAGCGATATAGTGCGGAAATATGAGCGATATCGCTACAAAAATCGCGCGATAAATCGCTCAATGTGAACGGGGCCTTAAAGTCCAGGAAACCACGATTTTAGAGTGCGGCAACTGAGCGATGTCAGAAAGTGCGCTCGGCTTACCGTGACCCGTGTTATAAAACCTCCCCGGGGAGATCTCCCGAACATTGCAGGTCAGAGGATTAGATGACAAAGAGATCCGCTGCGGCCTCCTCTGTGCCCGACACAAACTCCTATTATCACATTATATGGATCTATACATCTACGTGATGACCTGCAATCACCATCAAAGGGATTTCCTCTTCCACACACCGTACCTGGCGCACACACACGCCGTACCTGGCGCACACACACACCGTACCTGGCGCAGACACACACACACCGTACCTGGCGCGCACACACACACCATACCTGGCGCGCACACACACCGTACCTGGCGCGCACACACACACCATACCTGGCGCGCACACACACCGTACCTGGCGCGCACACACACACCATACCTGGCGCGCACACACACCGTACCTGGCGCGCACACACACACCATACCTGGCGCGCACACACACCGTACCTGGCGCGCACACACACACCATACCTGGCGCGCACACACACCGTACCTGGCGCGCACACACACACCATACCTGGCGCGCACACACACCGTACCTGGCGCGCACACACACACCATACCTGGCGCGCACACACACCGTACCTGGCGCGCACACACACACCATACCTGGCGCGCACACACACCGTACCTGGCGCGCACACACACACCATACCTGGCGCGCACACACACCGTACCTGGCGCGCACACACACACCATACCTGGCGCGCACACACACCGTACCTGGCGCGCACACACACACCATACCTGGCGCGCACACACACCGTACCTGGCGCGCACACACACACCATACCTGGCGCGCACACACACCGTACCTGGCGCGCACACACACACCATACCTGGCGCGCACACACACCGTACCTGGCGCGCACACACACACCATACCTGGCGCGCACACACACCGTACCTGGCGCGCACACACACACCATACCTGGCGCGCACACACACCGTACCTGGCGCGCACACACACACCATACCTGGCGCGCACACACACCGTACCTGGCGCGCACACACACACCATACCTGGCGCGCACACACACCGTACCTGGCGCGCACACACACACCATACCTGGCGCGCACACACACCGTACCTGGCGCGCACACACACACCATACCTGGCGCGCACACACACCGTACCTGGCGCGCACACACACACCATACCTGGCGCGCACACACACCGTACCTGGCGCGCACACACACACCATACCTGGCGCGCACACACACCGTACCTGGCGCGCACACACACACCATACCTGGCGCGCACACACACCGTACCTGGCGCGCACACACACACCATACCTGGCGCGCACACACACCGTACCTGGCGCGCACACACACACCATACCTGGCGCGCACACACACCGTACCTGGCGCGCACACACACACCATACCTGGCGCGCACACACACCGTACCTGGCGCGCACACACACACCATACCTGGCGCGCACACACACCGTACCTGGCGCGCACACACACACCATACCTGGCGCGCACACACACCGTACCTGGCGCGCACACACACACCATACCTGGCGCGCACACACACCGTACCTGGCGCGCACACACACACCATACCTGGCGCGCACACACACCGTACCTGGCGCGCACACACACACCATACCTGGCGCGCACACACACCGTACCTGGCGCGCACACACACACCATACCTGGCGCGCACACACACCGTACCTGGCGCGCACACACACACCATACCTGGCGCGCACACACACCGTACCTGGCGCGCACACACACACCATACCTGGCGCGCACACACACCGTACCTGGCGCGCACACACACACCATACCTGGCGCGCACACACACCGTACCTGGCGCGCACACACACACCATACCTGGCGCGCACACACACCGTACCTGGCGCGCACACACACACCATACCTGGCGCGCACACACACCGTACCTGGCGCGCACACACACACCATACCTGGCGCGCACACACACCGTACCTGGCGCGCACACACACACCATACCTGGCGCGCACACACACCGTACCTGGCGCGCACACACACACCATACCTGGCGCGCACACACACCGTACCTGGCGCGCACACACACACCATACCTGGCGCGCACACACACCGTACCTGGCGCGCACACACACACCATACCTGGCGCGCACACACACCGTACCTGGCGCGCACACACACACCATACCTGGCGCGCACACACACCGTACCTGGCGCGCACACACACACCATACCTGGCGCGCACACACACCGTACCTGGCGCGCACACACACACCATACCTGGCGCGCACACACACCGTACCTGGCGCGCACACACACACCATACCTGGCGCGCACACACACCGTACCTGGCGCGCACACACACACCATACCTGGCGCGCACACACACCGTACCTGGCGCGCACACACACACCATACCTGGCGCGCACACACACCGTACCTGGCGCGCACACACACACCATACCTGGCGCGCACACACACCGTACCTGGCGCGCACACACACACCATACCTGGCGCGCACACACACCGTACCTGGCGCGCACACACACACCATACCTGGCGCGCACACACACCGTACCTGGCGCGCACACACACACCATACCTGGCGCGCACACACACCGTACCTGGCGCGCACACACACACCATACCTGGCGCGCACACACACCGTACCTGGCGCGCACACACACACCATACCTGGCGCGCACACACACCGTACCTGGCGCGCACACACACACCATACCTGGCGCGCACACACACCGTACCTGGCGCGCACACACACACCATACCTGGCGCGCACACACACCGTACCTGGCGCGCACACACACACCATACCTGGCGCGCACACACACCGTACCTGGCGCGCACACACACACCATACCTGGCGCGCACACACACCGTACCTGGCGCGCACACACACACCATACCTGGCGCGCACACACACCGTACCTGGCGCGCACACACACACCATACCTGGCGCGCACACACACCGTACCTGGCGCGCACACACACACCATACCTGGCGCGCACACACACCGTACCTGGCGCGCACACACACACCATACCTGGCGCGCACACACACCGTACCTGGCGCGCACACACACACCATACCTGGCGCGCACACACACCGTACCTGGCGCGCACACACACACCATACCTGGCGCGCACACACACCGTACCTGGCGCGCACACACACACCATACCTGGCGCGCACACACACCGTACCTGGCGCGCACACACACACCATACCTGGCGCGCACACACACCGTACCTGGCGCGCACACACACACCATACCTGGCGCGCACACACACCGTACCTGGCGCGCACACACACACCATACCTGGCGCGCACACACACCGTACCTGGCGCGCACACACACACCATACCTGGCGCGCACACACACCGTACCTGGCGCGCACACACACACCATACCTGGCGCGCACACACACCGTACCTGGCGCGCACACACACACCATACCTGGCGCGCACACACACCGTACCTGGCGCGCACACACACACCATACCTGGCGCGCACACACACCGTACCTGGCGCGCACACACACACCATACCTGGCGCGCACACACACCGTACCTGGCGCGCACACACACACCATACCTGGCGCGCACACACACCGTACCTGGCGCGCACACACACACCATACCTGGCGCGCACACACACCGTACCTGGCGCGCACACACACACCATACCTGGCGCGCACACACACCGTACCTGGCGCGCACACACACACCATACCTGGCGCGCACACACACCGTACCTGGCGCGCACACACACACCATACCTGGCGCGCACACACACCGTACCTGGCGCGCACACACACACCATACCTGGCGCGCACACACACCGTACCTGGCGCGCACACACACACCATACCTGGCGCGCACACACACCGTACCTGGCGCGCACACACACACCATACCTGGCGCGCACACACACCGTACCTGGCGCGCACACACACACCATACCTGGCGCGCACACACACCGTACCTGGCGCGCACACACACACCATACCTGGCGCGCACACACACCGTACCTGGCGCGCACACACACACCATACCTGGCGCGCACACACACCGTACCTGGCGCGCACACACACACCATACCTGGCGCGCACACACACCGTACCTGGCGCGCACACACACACACCATACCTGGCACACACACACAAACCATACCTGGCACAGAAGAGTTTCCCGACTTCCCTCCGTCTGATCCAACCGCCTCCGATATCTCTCCAACTCCACCTCCAGCTGCAGGGAGAAGAAAACCTCTCTTACCATCAGACATTACAGGAGCCGGTTATGAGAAAGACTCAACAAGCTGAAGCAAACTTACCTTCTACTAATATCCGTGTCCAGGGGGAGAACCCCAATACATTTAATGGTCACTACACCACCCCCCCTCCCCCCCAGACACACCTGACAAAGTCCTCTGAGGAGGAAAGAGACTCAAAATATCAAAAGGACAACATGACTCCAGGCTGCAGATGTTGGCACCATCAATCGGCCTCTGACCCATTAGTGGAGAGTGAGCTGGCAACACATGGTGCTGGGGGCACATGGCACAGGGGTAGTCAGTGTACCCATTGCACTCCTTACTGCTAAATCCTTGATAAATGGGTTGGGTGCATCAGTCCGGGCAGAGTATAAGAAGTTATGGACACCGGCACTCCAAAGTAGAAAAGTGTCTTTTATTGACGCATCATGCAACAATACACTTATTGCTGGTACAGGGGGACTGCACCCCATCCCAGTGTCCAGATTTAGACATCTTGTAGCCACAGCGTGGGTAGGCAACTTATAGGCAAGGGTCATTGACCAGAGGGTCGGTGTAGGCCGGCAGGAAGAACAGTGGGGGGGGGGATAGAAAACCGAATGCAAATGCAAAGCCATCAGGAAGTCTACTGACCAAGAACAATAAAAGGCACTCCGGGTGCTCGGCCAAAGCAGCCTACTCACCAGGTGAGGAAACTTCCAGCCTATCCCCGCAATGTCCAGTCCACTAGCTGCTGTCACATGCATGCCCCCATAGGCCATCAAAACTACACAAACTTCCTCACCTGGATCTTTTCACTCTCCGTTTTCCCAAGCTTGTCTTTCAGCGATGATTCCACCTCACGGGCCTCATGTGACTTGGAGTCCCGTTTTTTAAGGGCCTGTAATGACACAAGCACGGATCATCTGCACTGATACACCTCTATACAATCAGGGTACAAGAATGCCTACGTATAGAGGGAGAGATCTGAGCAGACATGGCGGGTAGAGGTCCTGGTGCCAGTGTATTAGGAGGAGGGTAGA